CACCAGTACACCAGTACACCAGTACACCAGTACACCAGTATCACCAGCTACACCAGTACACCAGTCACACCAGTACACCAGTACACCAAGTACACCAGTACACCCAGTACACCAGTACACCAGTACACCAGTACACCTAGTACACCATGTACACCAGTACACCAGTACACCAGTACACCAGTACACCAGTACACCAGTACACCAGTACACCAGTACACCAGTACACCAGTACACCAGTACACCAGTACACCAGTACACCAGTACACCAGTACACGCAGTACACCAGTACACCAGTACACCAGTACACCGGCATTACGCTTCTGCATCGGATATAACGTACGTCTTCTGATTTCCGGTCCGTCCATGCATTGCCTCACTTTCGCAGCTACGCGCCACGCACGAAACATACGCCAATTGCGTTCAAGAAGCATAAATTTGGACAGACTTTTTTGGGGGCGATGTTGCACGTGCGGATAGCGACAACTTAAAGGGTGGGAAAAGACGATTATTTGTGTTCTTTTTGTGGTTCCGTAGTGTTTTTGGTTGTGGAGTTCTCGTCAAAAAAACGAATTACTTTAAGGGATTCCTGCAGGTAACCCGTGCATTTTTTTCGAGGGCGAGGGTGCATACACCCAAACCGAGGGGCGTGTTTGTTGGGGATAGTATGCAGGCTTGAATGTGGAGCCGATGTTATATTGCCGTACGGATGTCCCGATAGTATATCATCACGACATTTTATGACAACTCGAGCGCAGGTCCCCCCATCGTTAACGTTACGACAGATTACATTTACCGTGTATCACTCAATTTACCGCGTCATCATCCCAATTGAGAGCGTCCTCATGCTAGTTACGGCGATTACCAATGTATGTCGTATCACGTATTTGTCAATGTTGATCCTTATTTAATGATTCCTTTATTTATTTAGAGAGTTAATTAATTATGAGTATGTAGATTTTTAGTACGACCATGAACAATTCTTGGATAAGCGCAAAAACTTGAGGA